TAGTTTCACAAATTTAAATGTGTGACTTCACTAATTTGTTGTTGTTGAGCCAAATTTTATGAATGCAATTATTATTGATGTATAGGTGTGACAAATACTTGTCTGTCTGTCTGTCTGTCTATTTATCTATCTATATCTTCCAGTGGTTCAAATCTAATCCCCTTTGGTGCACCTTTGTTTCATCTAGAGAGTTGAGGACAACCAGAGGCATAGGATCATAGATTTTGAACTGGAAGAGTCCTCAAAGGTCTTCTAGCCCAACCTACTCATTTTACAGATGAGAAAATTGATTGTCATATAGGTTAAGTGATTTGTCCCGGGTCACACAGGTAGTATAGAGGCTGAGTCAGGATTTGCACTCAGGTCCTCTTATTCCAAATCTAGCACTCATTCCACTGTACTGTTCATTTTATTTACTGAGAGAATTCAGGTTAAACTACCAGAGGACTTAGGATAAAATGATTATTCACAGAGAGACAGTGGGGCTGAAAATGTATTAGAGGCTAATTTCTAGAAAGCCTGTATTTTATTGTCTTAAAAGCATCTCTCTTCTCTTCTTTGTCATTAACATTGCCTATGCCATACTTACAAATTTAGCCCTATGCAATGTATCATTTAAATGCTCTCTTATTGAATCAAGGAGTGTTAGAACTGGAAGAATTCTTAGAAAACATGTATTCTAATATCGTTATTTTACAGAAGAGAAAACTGAAGAACTGAAGTGAATTGCTCAAGATGACACAGTTAATGAGAGGCAAAACCAGGATTTAAACCTGTGCCTTGATTCTCTTTCCAGTGCTGGCCACTCTATGCTGATTTAAGAGATTCATTCACAAGAGATTTCTTTTCTTTCTTTCTTTCTTTCTTTCTTTCTTTCTTTCTTTCTTTCTTTCTTTCTTTCTTTCTTTCTTTCTTTCGCTAGGCAATGGGATTAAGTGACTTGCCCAGGGTCACACAGCTAGTGTCAAGTGTCTGAGGCTGGATTTGAACTCAGGTCCTCCTGACTCCAGGGCCAGTGCTCTATTTACTGTGCCACCTACCTGTCCCAGATTTCTTTTATTCTTAAACTACAAAATAGTTATAAGTAATATAACAATAATAATAATCTCAATCTACATAGTACTTTATAATTTACATTTATCATTGTTTTGTTTTAGAATCTAAGGAATTTTAACTACTGAAACTAAAATGTATTTGCTACATATCTATGAGATAGAAGATATTTATTAATATAAAAACTAAATACTACATCTGGTTCCTGGCATGATGAAATGGACATATATGCTCTGTGAGGCACATAGATAAACTGATACCTCCCTTTCCATGATAATTTTTCCTTTGAGAAATATCCCTGCTTGGCTTAGAGAGATGCTTACCTTCACACTAGTAATGTGAGGCAGCAGAAGAAAAGCTTGATGATCAAACCCCCATTTATCCCATGGTTGACCAGAAGGCTTGACGAGAGAACTACCAGTAGAGTATGCTAATACCCAATTCTGTCAGTTATGTTCCTACCCACATTGTCCTTTGGAACTTTGCAGGGCTCTTCCAGAATGTGAGACTCCCTGTACTCCTTGCATAAAACAAGAGTGAACCTCTCTCAGTTTGTCCCAAAAAAGGACAAGAGGTTATATGGACCCTTATGACAGCCCCTACCTCTAAGTATCATGAAACTTCCCACCTGGACAGTGTAGGCTAATAGGTCAATATTTCAGATTTACTTAGGATTAAATGCCCCAGATAAGAGCCTTGGGGATTGCAGCACCCCTAGACCACTGATCCTTCTGTAGCCATTATCCTAGAAAGTAAACCCTGTGAAGATACAACCTGGCTTCTTTGGGGGCTATAGCCTTAGCTACTGAAGACTCAGAACATTTTCTTCACCTAAGTCCTTGGCAATATCAAATAGCTCAACATCAGAAACTAATATGATTTTATCAGTGGAAATGACATGAAATACGATGTGTTATCATCTGCTTTGTCACTGTGCCCTAAGGATCATGGGATCTTTCCATTTTGCTGTCAAAGTCTTCTACGTGCAGTTTCTCCATTAAAATGTGAACTCTCAGACTGCAGAAAATATCTCATTTTTCTATTTGTATCTCCAGCACTTAGCATAGTGCTTTTCACCTAAGAATTACTGATCTTTGAATTTAATAAATGCTTTTTTAATTCATTGCTTGTTCAAAATCTAAAAATAAATTTATATAGAGCTTTAAGATTTGGAAAGTGTTTTACAAATGTTATTTTACTTTATCCTCACCTATCAGATGGGTGTTATTATTATATTTCCATTTAATAGATGAGGAAACTGAGGCAAATGGGAATTGAGTGATGTGCCCAGGGTCACACAGTTATTGTCCGTGACTGGATTTGAAGTGAGGTCTTCTTGACTTTAGCTCAGGCACCAGTGTGCTACCCAGCTGCCTCTACTGATCTTAGTCCTGAATGCTCTTCCTTTGGACTAATTTTGGAGGTGAAAGGGAGAATGAGGTGCTTCTAGGGCTCCAAATCTATGCTATTTGTAGCTTTAAATGATGGACATTTGAAATTCCTCCTTTTATCCCCTCTGCCCAACTACATACATTCTAGATAACAACTTATCTGAAGAGAGCCAGGAGAAGGGCAAAATCAGGAGAACAGAGTCACTGATTCTGCTTCCCTCTTCAGGGTATGCTTTTAGGAGGGTACACTGACTTCCTTATGAGGATTGGCAGGAAGTGCTGCTTCTCCTTTTCAGGTACTAGATGAACTGAAAATAATAATTAATAATAATAACAAATAATAATAACAATCAACATTTGCTAAGTATATCATGTACTCTATCTCCTTTGTTTCTCACAGTATATACCTGTGAGGTATATACTACAGGTATCATTGTACCCCTTTTCTAGATGAGAGAACTGAGACTCAGAAAGGTCAAGTGACTTGCTCAGGGCCATCCAGCTAGTATTTAATACAAGATTCATGCTCAGGTCTTCCTAACTCCAAGGGCATCACCACTCTATATACTAGAAGAAGCTGCACGTTTCTTCACCCTTGGCTCCCACCCCTACCCACATTAAATTCCTCCCTGATATGTTTCAAGGAGTTAGTTGGAGGAGAGTCCAAGGTAAAGTGATCTATTTGCTAACTCTGCAGAGGGACTCAGTGATACGTAATACTCCCATAGCTTTCCAAAGAAGTAAAATCAGTCTTCATATGAAAATCTTTAGAAGGATAAGATATAGCATAAAGGTAAGAGCTAAGATCGACAGCTTCCTTTCAGCAGTAATATGTGTGAATTTTAACAAGTTCTCAATTATTACTTTCTCCATTCATAAGATAAAAGAAATGAAAGAGATTGGTTTGGGTTTTCTTTTTTCACTTTTAAAGTAATTTCTCTCTGCTATAGTAACCTTATTGATTTCATTTAACTTCATGCTTTGACAGAGCCCATGCAAATGAAAAATTCTTACACTAAATTAATCTTTTACTTTATGCTATTAGAAATAGTTTCAAAAATGGTGCCCCTTTGTTACTTGAAGATATAACTATAGGACATGTTGGCATTGTTTTAGAAGTTTCTAAAACTTATTCAGATTTTTTTTGGGGGGAGTGAAATGAGATCACAACTCTAAAGTTTTAGAATTTAGATATTCAAAGCACTAAAACTACCATATCAAACTAAAGTTATCTTAAATCTTTTAACCTTTAGTTAGCATCTAAATCTCTCTCTCAAAAAAAAAAAGTTGATTCTATGAGAATAAGAGGGAAGGCCACATGGCTTCCCCTAAAATTACTTTCTCCCCATCTAATATGTAGTGAGAGCAAATACAATTTCCATCTAAGACAAAATCCTTTAAATTAGAAAGGGGAAAACAAAGCCTTTGGCATCTTACTCTTTAAATAGGAGCTGGAAATCCATTTCTTTTTAGATGATGTTGCTAGTAAGGAGTTAAATACTTTGTCAAATGTTTGATGGGTAAAATAGCTGTTTCTGGTCAGCTATTTGAGTGTACACAGTGCAATTTTTTGAATAAGCAAGAATGGTTGTAGGTTTTATTATGCACCTGTTTTTTTCATATAATCATTCAAGCAGTTCAAAATATTCATTATCATCTTCTAATCCCATATGATGAGGTCAATTCTTCCAAATCCCTATGAATAATGGAAGGAGTTGTTCATGTGTAAGCCCACGTGGGAATATTAATCTGTGCTGACATAGGACAGTGGAGATTCACCTCCTGCTCAGCAAAAGAGTGGAAAAGCTCTGAATGTAGCTAACTTACAATCTTTGGTCAGTGAACTGATGGGAGTATGGATAGCGTAGGAAGATGGGGTTCATAGATAGAATGGTGGTAGGACCAGACTGTGCACAAGTGAAATTTCTCAAGTGTGCTGTGATTGTACTGAGGCATTATTGTGACCACTCTGATAATGTACCCAAATTACTTCTAAATCCATTCATGATAGTTGCTTTCTCAGTAGGAACTGCCACACTGAAGGTATCAATTCTTCCCTCAAATGAGGCAAGAGCCCAATTCAAGCTGAGAACCTTGGAAATGGCCAAGCTGAGGTGTTTTCTCTCAGTTCTAGGGAAGAGTGTATTGCTTGTATCCTCTGGGATATAGAGCAAGGTTGCCTTCTAGTTGAAGAAAACAAAAAGAAATTTAGAATATCTTCAAAAAAACCCTATGATTTGTAAATTATAAAAAAAATCTTGCCAATACTTTTACTATTTAAACAAAATATGTTTTCATAATAAAAAAGACTGTTCTTTGACCAATACCCTAAACATTAGAGGATCTGAGAGTGGGATCATTTTCTTATGACCTCAGAGGGTTAGTCTGAAGTCTTACCATTGAATAATAACACATTTCATCCTGATAACACTTGCTCTTCAACATGACCACAGTTTGCAGTGTTAATGTACTGTCCCCAAATTGCTAATGCCATGTGTGGTTTCATGAGCTGTGGTTTTCTTTGGACAATTTGAATCAAAGAGTTGTACTATGTCATGCAGTTTCAAAAATATTTTTTATTTTCTTGAATAGCCATACTGTCTGAGCATTGTCTTTATTGCCTCTTTTCATGTGGAGAGACAGAGATGTGACAAGACAACACTAAGGTGCCACATCAAACCTGAAAGACAGAATTATTATAGCATTTAGAAAAGCTTACAAAATAATTCATTATGATGCATATGGATGGTATGGAGAGCTAACATTGCTGGGTCATGACGTTTCAAATACATTCATAAAGATAATACAAATATCACCTGGCAATTCTCATGCTCATGTTGTCTGTTTTCCCTGAAGTTTTCAACAAAAGTGCAAAACTGCACATCCTTGGTGCCCCTCAAACTATGCAATGAAATTGCATTATGCCATAAAAATGAGGTTGTTAACACTCCAACATGGATGAGGTGCTGGCATACTGTATGCCTATTGGCTTTCTTCTTTCACATCGAAAGGTCATAGTCTTTAATTATTAGGCTATTTTTCTGGGAGCAGCATATTTTTTATTATGACCACTAAAACAAAAATTATCTGGGGTAACTTTGAAAAAAAATTAAAAAGAGGGCCATAATTGAATTACTTATGACTGTTCCCTTGAGCACATCCATCATGCAAAAACAAGCTACAAGATAGTTAACTTGTTTACAAACTTTACTGAGAAAATCCATTTGAAAATGAAGTAGGCGAGGCCCCAGATGTCACCTACCTTAAAGATGTTACAATCTGATGCTGATTGTCTTCAGGATTTCTCTAGTCATGTATGTAAAAGTAAAAATCTCCACAAGGCTGCCTCACAGATATTTTAAACAAAGAGCCCTGCTGGTTCAGTACCGTGCACAAGCAAGGAAGAGACTGATGACGACTCCACGAGAGAGAGGGAGGAGAGACAGGCCAGGTAGGATGGCTCAGAATACCAGCAAGGAGATATGATGGAGGCCTTGGCCCCAGCTGTTGAGAAGGACCATGAGTTCTCATTGGAATATTTGGTGAGATGGGTGATGGCTGCTGATGGCCTCAATCCATATATTGTCCACCCCTCCCTCCATCCCCACAAAATTGCGTCATTGGCACTCTTGTTGACACGACAGTCCCAGGAACAAGGCCAAAGTCTCCCCCTTCCATCCCTCAAAGGTGTCCCTCCACATCAGAGTCATGACACCTTGGTGGCACCTGGGTTGTAGCAGGGCAAGGGATGACTCCACACTGTCCAGAGCTTTCAAGTCCCTCACTGGGCACTAAATGGAAGGAAAGAAGAGAAAAAAAAATACACAAGGCGAAAGGAACAAAATCAATGTTAACGCAATGAAAAAAGCTAAATCATGCAGGACAGACATTTCACTTCTACATTTCTAAGAGGTTATTCTGTAATGACTTTTAAAAGTGCTTGGCAATGCCCTTTTATTACTAAATGCCTAGGTTCCCATTGTTCACATAGGCAAGTCAGAGAAAAGCAAATTTTTCAATTATGTCCAGTCTGCTTTGGTTGTGTGAACATAATAATAGCTAGCATTTATATAGTGCTTTACAGGTTTGTAAAGCACTCCATAAATATGATTTCATTTGATCCTCACAACAAGTCCCATTTTATAGATGAGGAAACTGAGACAGAGTTTAAGTGATTTGTCCAGGATCATACAGCTAAAAATTGTCTGTGGTCAGATTTGAACTGAGGTCTTCCTCATTCTAGTTCTTATGCTCAATCTATCCTCTATGTCACCTAGTTAACCTAACCATAACATAAGAATATGGTAGGGACTGGACCTTTTTTTTTTTTTGGTATAGGAAATCCTGATTGAGGTAGGTTGGCACCTTCTCTGCAACTTAGAACCTTAGAGTGTAGCCTATAGCAACAAGAGATTAGGATCACACAGCTGAAAGTCAGGGGCAGGATTAGAACCCAGGTCTTGGTGGCCCCAAGGGCAGCTCTCTGGCCACTACCTTATGCTGCCTCTCCTAATATAACAACAACAACCTATTAAACAAAATATCTTTAAACTCATCTATGATACTATCCTTCAATTAAAAAAAAACTACTCTGAAACAACCATATTCTAAATTACTTTGGCAAGGGAATGAGACAGTATAGAAATAATCAATTTGATTTAAACAAGAATAAATTTAGAGGAGGTTTCTTAATTGAAAATGGTTTTAGGAGGTTACTTTAGACTGTAGATTCCTTAGTAACAAAACCCTGGTCTCCTATGTCTTTATAGGCACAGTACCAAGGAGAATATACAATCAGTACTCACTCTTTTTAACAGAGCCAGATAAATGTAAAATTGTGAAGTAGTAGGATTTGTTTTCAGCAGCAACAGAATCTCCATTTCCTTAGTCTTCCTCATGTCATTCAGTACCCTCTAAATTCACAGTGTGCCTGTCAATCCCCTTATGTCACTATTGTTTTGTTCTACCCAGATTTGTTCTCCTTCAAGTTTCTCTTGTTCTGGGATTCTGCCCCTTTACAGTAAGCCTGGTACAGTCAAGATAGCACTGGACTAGGAAACCTGGGTTCAACTCTCAGATCTGCCAGCAAGTGACTTTTGGCAAGTCACTTCAACTCTCTGGCCTCAGTTTCCTCATGAGAAGGTTGGACTAGATGATCCCTAAGGTGCCTCAAGTTCAGCACAGTGCCTCCAGAGGTTAGCATTGTGCCTGGCATACAGTAGAAATTTTCATTGACTGACTGACTTTCCAACTGGAATTATCTATGTACAAGATCTGTATCTGTCCTATCTCCCTCTCACCATCCTAGCCTTTGTTTTCCTAGGGGACAATTAGTTACTTGATAAACTCTTCTAAACTAAGAAGTCAATGAACGAAAATGGATGAATCTATTTATCTCTTTTCAGGGATAATTGTGCTTTAGTGCCTCTGGGAAAACGTAATATCTAAAGTCTGAAATAGGTTTCTAATGGTGGATATTTCAGACATATGACAAGCAAGTTAAGGAAATCTTTTAAATGACACGGATACTGATCTTTTGTTGGGAGTCTCTCAACTCACAGCAAGCAGGCAGCTGTTTACCCTACTGGCTTTGCCAATAAATGTTAGTTGATTGATCTCACTACAAGATAGGAGAGGCATAGCTATCCAATAGTTTATTTGAAAAAGTTCTGGGAGTTCTAGAAAGCTTAATATGAGTCAACATGGGATATAAAGAAAGCCAAAAATGCTAATAAGGCCTTAGACCACGGAGTGGCCTGAGTAATGGAGGTGATAATCCCACTGGACAGGCAGTAGTATATTGGAAAGGGCACCAGCTTTGGAGACAGTGTTCAAATCCTAGCATACCTATATGATCTTGGGCAAAATAAGAAAACTCTTCAGACTTCAGTTTCCTCATATGTAAAATGATTTAAAAATGATTTCTGAGGTTCTTCTCCTCCTTAAATCCTATATATGCCTATCATATCAGACCACATTTGGAATATTGCATTCAGTTCTGGGTGCCACATTTTAGAAAGGATATTGACAAACTGGAGGGGGTCAGCAGGAATATGGTTAGAGTGGGGAGAAGACTAGAGTCCATACTATGTAAGGGTTGGTTGAAGAAACTGGGGATATTTAGCCTGAAGAAGAAAAGGCTTGCAAAGGATATAGGTACTGCTGTCTTTAAGTATTTTAAGGGTTATCAAGCAGAAGAAGAGTTCAGTTTTTCCTGCTCGTCTCCAGAGACCAAAGCTAGGAGCGATGGCTGGAAAATTTAAAGCTGTCCCAAAGTGGAATAGGTTGTCTTGGGAGGTAATAGTTTTCTCTTCTTCAAGCAGGGGCTGGCTGACAGTTTGTCAGGAACGTTGTAGGGGAGATCCTTGTCTGGTTATAGGCTGGGCTAGGTGACCCCTGAGATCCCTCTTAGCATTCTGGAATTTTAAGCAGAAAAGAAGGCCTAGCTGTTTATAAAAACAAGATTTGTTGCATTATAGCAGTCTAAGGAGTTCAAAATGGGTATTTCTACCCATTTTCTTGAGGAAAGTGAAACAAAATAAATTGTACAACTCTTACACCAGTTACATTCAATGTGTCAGTTAAGCTCTGTGATTGCTCTAATTAACTGTCACAATTTGGAGGTCATGAAAGGAGTTTATATGCCAGGCTGAAAATCTGAAAACTTAAGTAAGGAAAAGCGTTCCTCACCATATAAAAACAATACATTTCCAGGGAATCTTCAATTCTACCTACCTCTCTGATCTAAAACATTACTTGAAATTAGTGTTTTTCAAATTTAAAAATGTTTATCTTGGATAATTTTTTCTACTTTTAAGTAATTAACAGCTTTCTTGGTTTTCTCAGTCCACCTTTTGGATATTTAACATAATGTATAATTATTTAGGTTCTGCTACCTTACCAAAAACATCTTTGTTGTATACATGTATTAATATTATTTGTTCTCTGACTATGCCCTTTTGCATCCCTTTTGTCATCCTCAGGTTATCTCCTATTTATCTGTCAATGAACATTGTATCGCAATGCCCCACAGGGGAATGTAAGCTTCCTGAGAGCAGGAATTGTTTTTTCAGTTTTTGGTCTCTGTTAACTCAGAATCTATCGAAAAAAGCCTTGCCCATTTTTATACTGGACTTGTGATTTCATTGGCATAGAGAACTGCCCAGCAGGAAGGTCCCTCTAATTGATGATTGGCAGCTGCCCTGCAATTAAAAATTGAGAGAGTTGCCTGCAGGCTCTGAGTATTTCCTCAGGATCACACAGCCAACAGGTGTCAGGTGTAGGACCTGAACCCAGGTGATCCTGACAATGAGACTATTTTCCACCTACTATATCAGGCTTCCTCTTTGTTGGAGGGGTTTACATGCCTATAACTTCTCCCTCTTCTTGGAGTTGCAGGAGTCAATTATTAAATTTTCAGCATGAACATTTACATCTCAGAAATGGGCAATTGCTTGATTTTCTAGACTTTAAAAAATGATAAAAATGGAGATTAACTTAAAATGTGTGTACATTCCTCTCTGTTCCCCTACCCCCATCCCCAGCTCAGGTAGCTAAACATTTACCAACATGCTACCTGATTGCTTTATAAAAAAAAAAAGTGTTTGAGCTCAGAGGGAGCACAGTAGCAGGTCCAGGAATGAAGTCATCACCAGAGTGGAGTTCTGGTGACTATGACACAACATCACCACCAACAATAATAACAATGACATATGACATTTGTAGAGTACTTTAAAACTTGCAGAGGTTTACATTATCTCATTTGAGCCTTAACACTCCTGCCTACAAACAAGTCCTATTTTTTTCTGCTTTATAGTTTTATTGTTTGAATTATTGCCTTTAAGTGGTTGCTTCTAAATGTGTTTCTTGCTATAGACCTGCATTACCTATTACCTTCTAGACTCACCTTCCCTAAACCTGCTGCTTTTCTCGACTTCTCTATTTTTTGTTCATGACAGCACCATTTTTCCAGGCACCTAAGCTCAAAATGTTGCAGTCATCTCAATGTCCCCTTTCAGTTAGTCACCAAAAACCATTCCTTCTGCTACTTAAATGCTACTTGAATCTGTTCCCCACATTAGCTCTTGTCTATACTATTGTAATAGCCCCTAACATTTCTCCCTGCCTCCAGTCTCTTAATCTGTTCTATTCACCAATACCATATGAATCTTCCTAATGTGCAGTCCTAATTATACCATCCCCCTTTTAACTTCAGTTGTTCTATACCTTAAGCTGACATTCAAAACTCTATAAATTTGATACAATCCACTTTTTCACCCTTATCTTCTACTAAGAGTTTTGTTTTCCTTACAGTAACTCTTTGAAATAGGCATAGCTCATATTATTACCCATATTTTATACACAACAGCTTGTCCATAGATTTATACAACTAGTAAGTATCTAAGCTGGGCCTTGGTAAGTGATTGACTTAGTCCAGACTGTCTTTCAGGTATATAATTGGCCAATATGTGAGGGCAAACGTGCAAAAAGATTGAATAGCCCTAAAGTGTATACGTCTTTTGAATGTTTGTCATGGATGGAAAGATTACTTGGTACAATGGAAAATACATTGGGTTTGGAGTCAGATAACCTGGGTACCAATCCTGATTTTGACATTACCATTTAATTTTTCTAAGCCTTCGTTTCCTCATCTTTAAAATGAGGTCACTAGAACAGATGGAATCCAAGGTCCCTTATAAGTCTTTGATCCTAAAAACTGAATTAATCTACAAGGCAAGAGATACAAATTTCCTTTGTTGCCACAGTCTCTTCTCTTTTGACTATAGCTTAG